GCAAATCATGGACCGAAGAGGAAGAACGATGATGCAGAATCAATACTTGGATGTCCACTTGCATGCGTAAGAGCTTTGGAAGTTATGAATGGCTCTTATTCTTCTTCTTCTTCTTCTTCTCTCTCTCTCTCTCTCTCTCTCTCTCTCTCTCTCTCTCTCTCTCTCTCTCTCTCTCTCTCTCTCTCTCTCTCTCTCTCTCTCTCTTTTCATGCATGTGCGCACTCTCTCTCTCTTTCTCTCCCTCTCCCTCTCTCTACGTGAAGATCTCGACTCTGGATACATCCGCATGCTACTCAGCTCAACTCCTACTGCGGCTTTGGCCACCTTCCTCTCACACAGCGCAGCGCAGCCCAGCCAGGGCTCCAGCGCTTGCCAAGTCGCAGGTAGCGCACAAGCGCTCAGCAGCACTTCCACACTTCTCACAAATCAGCGATCTGTCCGAGGCTGGCCAGTCCCTATATTGTCTTGGACTGGGGCTTGATTCGTCCCAGCCTCTGCTTCTCTTGGCTTGACTTGGACCTGGTACCGGCTGCCTGCAGCCTGTTTGCTTTCGGAATGGTGAGGCCCGGTACCTCCCTGAGTTTTCCTTGGTGTGCTGATGCTTTTTGGTCTGTGCGACGTGATCTTTGACTGTGGGATGCCACTTTTGCCTGTGGGACGTGACTTTCGACTGGTTACCGGTTGGACTTGACCTCTGGGGTACCCGGCTTAACCTCTCTGAATCTGACCGACCTGGCCTCTTTTGACTTGAGGACTTTCGACCCTGAGATTCGAATTTGGGGTCTGCAGCGTGAAATGCCTTTCACCATACCCCTAATTTTACCAATTTCCTGGGTAGCACCCCGTACGCGTACGTATTCCGGCGTACGCGTACAAACCCAAAATCGTGCGTACGCGTACGTAAAAAAAAAAAAAAAAAATCCAAAAAATCTGAAAAAACAGTATGTTGTGGAGAATAATGATTCAAACAACATTTGCCTGGGAGTCATATCCGAATTCCAAACCAATCTCGATTTAAAAATCAAAAACCTTAACAAATTAAAAAATATTTTTAAATAGTTTTTTTAACTTTTTTAATTATTATGATAATATTACCTTTTTTTTAGTTTTTAATTTCTTATTCGAATTTGGTTGGCAATTCGGGGATGACTCCCAGGCAAAAGTTATTTGTATCATGTTTCTGCATAACATATATTTGTTATAGAAGTTTGTTTTTATTTTTGTGTGTTTTTTTCCTAGTTTTTTTCAAATTGTTTCAATTTTTTTTTTTTTTTTTGTGTCTTTGATTTTTAACTCGAGTTTGGTACAGAATTTCGAGATGAGTCTCAGGCAAATGTTGTTTGAAATATCATTTTGCATAACATACTTTCTTTTCAG